AACTCACTCAAGTCACCTTTTTGTATATGTATATACAACTTGCAATTTACCACACTCTAGATCCCGTAATCCTGAATGATCGATCGGGCAGGTCGTCATTCGAGTCGCAGATCTACAGACCGACCTTCGCCGGCTTTGTCAATGTCGACATATCTAAGACCAAGAAGATCGCCCTAAGGACATTGGTACGTGACCACAAAATCTACATTGAATTAGTTACTTACTGAATATACCATTGCAAGAGGGTTCTAAGCCATGTCACGGAATCCATTTCAGATCGACCACTCTGTCGTGGAAAGTTTTGGTGCCGGCGGCAAGACGTGCATCCTCACGAGGGTCTACCCGAGGAAGGCCGTCGGGGACAATGCACACCTGTTCGTCTTCAACAATGGCGAGTCGGACATCAAGCTCACCAACCTGCGTGCATGGGAGATGAAGACCCCCACGATGAACAAGCGTCTGGGGCAGTAGCAACAGCCCGGCCCGGTAGATCGAGGATTCAGAGTAGCCTAGACTAGCCATAGCTAGCTAGCTTGTTGATTTAGTTGAGATTAATTAGGAGAGGTCCAGGTTTAGTGATGAGTTGTTAGAAAGGACCGGAAATGATCCATTTTGTTTCAGAACCTTTTCCAAATGGCAGGAGGCCTTGAAAAGCCAACATTTTTTGTTGGCATGCAAGATATCATCAACATATCAACAAAATTTTGAAAGACAGAGAAAATAAATGTTGGTGGTTCCACGTGAGGTTACTCAGGTAGAGTGAGGATCCACCTTAGCTAATTAGTATTACCTCCGTCTTAAAACGTTTGTCTTAGATTTGTCTAGATATACAAATGTATCTAAGACTAAAATGTGTCTAGATGTGTTGGTCGCCACTTCCGAGTGAAGTGCATTGTAGGTCCTTAAACTATTTCAGGGGTGCTATGTAAGTCCTCAAACTATGAAAATCCGCATTCAGATCTTCGAAGTGTAGTAAGTATGTTATTCAGCTCCAAAATCTTTCCGACCCCATATGACCGCCCAACTTGTGCTATTGACTCGTGACACGTCGGACATGGGGCCCGCAAGATAACGCCGGTGACGGAAATATGCAAATACATTCAAAGTCATGAACTATTTTGAAATTCATAAACTCAAAAACTCATGTAGCGCACCATTGTACAATTCAAGAAAAATCGGTAGCTTTTGATTATTTTTTCGTCAGCCAATATTTTCATGAACACTCAAAAGAAATTCATGAATTTGGAAAAAGTTGGACACATTTAATAAATTTTCATGAATTTTTAAAATGTTAGAAATATTTAGTTTACTTGTGTATTTAAAAATGTTCACAAATTTGCAAAAATTCTCAAAGCTGAAAAATATCTTCATTAATTGAAAAGTACGTTTATGAATTTACAAAAGTTTTTATTAATTTAAATGTTCATGGTTTCAAAAAAGTTCATGAATATGGAGAAAATGTTCATGACTTTAAAAGAGTGTTCGGTGAAAATGGAAAAAATGTTTTTCCATATTCACGAACGACACAGACATTTTTTAAGTTGTGAACTTTTTTTTCCATATTCACGAACATTGTTTTAAAGTCATGAAAGTGTATAAATGTTCGCGAACATTTTTCCATATTCGTGAATGACGCGAACATTGTTTTAAATTCGTGAACATTTTTTACCATAACCTCGAACATTTATTTTAAAGTCGTGAAAGTACATGAATGTTTGCGAACATTTTTTCCATATTGGCGGATGATGCGGACATTTTTCTAACATCAGGTACAGTTTATCCATATTCCCTAAAATTTTGTTGAAGTCATGAAAGTATATGGATGTTCGAATATTTCTTCCATACTCGCGAACATGTTTTTTAAAGTCGTGAACATGTTTTCCATATTCATGATTTTCGAAGTCGTGAAAGTATATGAATGTTTGCAAACATTTTTGCATATTCATGAACAATGCAGACATTTTTTTAAAGTCATGATTTTTTTTCTATATCCGTGAACATTTTTTTAAAGTCATGAAAGTGTATGAAAGTTCCCGAACAACACGAACAATTTTTAAAGTCACGGACATTTTCTTTTCATATTCACGAACATTTTTTTATAGTCGTGAAGGTGTATGAATGTACACGAACATTTTTCGATATTCACGAATGGCGCCGACATTTTTTCCCATATCATGAACGACGCGGACATATATTTAAAGTTCATGAATTTGAATTTATTTACATATTTTTGTCACCGGCAGTCACCCTGCGGGCCCATGGTCCAACGTGTCACGGGTCAACGGTGCTAGCTGGCTGGTCACGCGGGGTCATACGGATTTTGTACTTGAATGATACACTTACTGCACTTCGACGAACTGAATGCCGATTTTCATAGTTTAGGGACCTACATGACATCCCTAAAATAGTTTAAGGACCTACAATGCACTTTATTCGTCAGTAGAGGGGGGCGTTGCCCACCCACACTTGAAAAAAATGCGTTGAAATAGATTGAAAAAGAGAATAGTATTTTGCACCCCAGATCTTCATGATTTGAGACTTGTGTACCCTGGATGGGCAGACCTTCTCTCCAGCTCTGCATGTAGGATGAATATATTTTTGAACATAATACAACCGAAGTCGCTCACATACACAAGCATATAATCACCCTATAAATGCACACACGCATACCTTACCTTTATGAGCACCAATGCCAAGTTTAGGACTTAAACCCTGGTGGGCCGGGGATACCACTGTCCTCCTAACCATCCTACCTCAGGTTGGTTCGCTGCAAGACGAATGGTGTTATTTATCTTTTGATAAATTTGTAGTTCATAACCTGCAGTCATGATTAATTTCCTACATTATTCGCCTCGAGTCAATAAGATGTTTATGAAAATATGTTATGAAAAATCCCCAGATTAAGTTCTTACTAATTGTAATTACGCACAGTTAAAAAAATATATACTATGATTACGACTTTACTTTACGTGTACCATCGAACAGGTTCGTAATCATGCATATGAGGACTACCCAATACATGTTTTTTTCTTTATTATTTCAAGTGAGTACCAGGTAAATAGTGCTGGTTTTTCTTAATGAACCGAGGGAGTACAGTACTAGCTAGCAGGTAGCTGACCCAGGCGTGTCCAATGAATGGATGGGAATCCATGACAACCTATTGCCTCCAAGGCTTGCTTCAGGTATACCTAACTGGCAAATCAATCAACCAAGTGGTTGCACCGTCCCATCCGTATTGATATTATTATACCTTTCGTGCATGGCCGTATACGTGTACGTGTATATGCTGCTAGCTAAGCAGTACTAGTAGTTGATTGCTCAGGTCTCTGTTGTATAGTTCGCATCTCCTTGTCCTGTTATCTCCTCTTAATTACAAATTAATACCCGCCAATATGTGTCACGTCCTTGCTTAGCTAGCTACTCATTCATTTATTTATTCACTCACAGATGCCTAATCTACCGAACCATGCTAATAAACTATCCTCTGTTTCATCAGACCTAATGGAACAAGAAGGAACAGCCAATTGCCCATGTTCTGTCGTCTTCATTTTTGGTTTCTTCACATGGGAACATACGTGTGTCCATTTTTTTTAGTTTACACGATCAAAGATTAACGAGAGCTAATTATAACCGTCAAAATGCACTTAAATAAGTTAGTAGGTGTTGTTGTTAAGTACACACGGGACTATTAGCATCTTACCTCAACAGGAGTAGTTGCACATGCAGTTCAATGATCACATATGATACATGATTTGTTCCCTATATATAAAAAGTTGTTCATACTCAGATTTCAGGAATTGCTAGCTGGCTAGTACTCCAGTAGTAACCACTAATTTTCCGGCAAAAATAAAATGCCCCTTAGTACAAAACTGCGACACTATTATGGATCGGAGAGAGTAACCCTGCATGCGAGGAGTTCTTTTTCGAGAGTATACCCTGCATGCGAGGAGTAAGTAGGCTACATGAAACAGTAGTTATGCATGCAGGCTAAAATTGTTGCTTAATTACTATGGACAAGTGACAGAGAGAAAGACATGCATAAGTATATATTTTTGTACTACAGTACCACAGTGCACAACCGCTGGCGGCTCGATGAGTCGTCGTCGTTTATATAAGTAGGCACCGTCCGTGAATGAGACCTCAACTTTACTCAACCGCTATGCATGTAGGTAGGTAACATATCCCAATCAGCTCTCTTCGATCATATCCATATTTCCCTAGCTAGCTTTCCTTTTCTAGGTTCTGTGCAAGGAGTTTGGTTATATGTACTCTACACAGAAATCAAATACAACATATATATGCAAATGAAAATAGAAGGCATTGGCTAATTAAATTTATGCAGCCTCATTTGTGATGAGAGAGCCTCATAGCAAGAGATTTTTCTTGCAAATGTAAAGACAAAAGTACTAAACAAAATCCATTCCTTTCCCAAGAAAGTTGTATCTTGGTGGATGTATTGGTCTTTAGACACACACAACCCTACACAGCCAACCATGAAAAGTTGAAAATAATCACTCCTTGGATAAAATAATCAAGGAATCAATCAAGCAAATATATATTAATCCACATACAAATATGCATGGGTGGCTGTTCAACCAGACAATAATACACTTCTACAACTTTGTATCCAGAAGATTATATCCTACTCAAAAAGCAAAAAGGAAATTTAAAATAAAATGGAATCTTGCATTAGATAAATAGATATAGATGATGTCCCGTGAGCCTAGCCAACTAGGTAAGGACCGGCGCGGCGCCGCCGGTGCCATCTCCAACCTCCAGCTAGCTTATTAGGTGCTACGACCATCCCTAACCTCCCTATCATTTCCACCATCACGTTCCTATCTGCAAACCAACCAATTTAGAGACATCACATGGTATATATACAAATCCAAATCCTTTCCATTTAGCTCATCATCAGAGCACAAACCAGGCAGGCGGTGGATCGATCGGTCGGCGCCAAGAAATTCCCATCCTTCAAGTTCTTGGTTGATCGAGTGATCATGGCGGCAGCAGCGGTGACGCTGCTATTGCTTTTCGCCTCCTGCATGCATGCCGCCGTGTTCTGCGCGGCGGCCCCGTTCGATGAGGTGCCGACGGTGACCTTCGACGAGGGCTTCGCCCCGCTCTTCGGCGAGTCCAACATGGGTCGCTCCTCCGGCGGCGACGCCGTGAGCATCACCCTGGACCGGAGCACCGGCTCCGGCTTTATTTCCAAGCGCTACTACCACCATGGACTCTTCAGCGCCGATGTCAAGCTCCCGGCCGGCCACACGGCCGGCGTCGTCGTCGCCTTTTACCTCTCCAACGGCGACGTCTTCGAGGCCACCCACGACGAGCTGGACTTCGAGTTCCTCGGCAACCGCGCGGGTCACCGGTGGCGGATGCAGACCAACGTGTACGGCAACGGCAGCACGGCGCGCGGCCGGGAGGAGCGGTACGTGCTGCCCTTCGACCCCACCGCCGCCAAGCACAGGTTCTCCATCCTCTGGTCCTCCAGTTCCGTCGTGTTCTACGTCGACGGCACCCCCGTCCGCGAGGCGCAGCGCCGCCGTAGTCGCCGTCGTTTTACGGACGACGGCATGGGTCCCGACGGCGACGACAGTGACATGGGTGCCGACTACCCGTCCAAGCCCATGGCGGTGTACGTGACCATCTGGGACGGCTCCACCTGGGCCACGGAGAACGGCAAGCACACGGTGGACTACGGGCACGGGCCATTCACAGCCGAGTTCTCGGGGCTCGTGCTCCGCGGATGCCCCGCCGACGCCGGCGCAGACATCCGCCAGCTCCACCTCGGCGCCTCCACGCAGCGGTGCGCCACGGCGGAGTGGGAGCTGATGACGGCGGAGTACGCGGTCATGACGGCACAGAAGCGCGCGGCCATGCGGCGGTTCAGGCAGAGGCAGATGGTGTACACGGTGTGCTATGACACGGACCGGTACCCGGCGGCGCTGCCGGAGTGCGAGGTGAACGCGGCGGAGCGGCGGATGTTCGAGCGGTGGGGCGAGTCCAAGGCCTCGTTCCGCTCACGGACGACGCCACCGCCACCGCGGCCGCTTGCTGTGTCCATGATGCAGGCCGACTGAGTGATCGGATCGGACGGACCACCGGCGGCCACGTTGCTGCCTGTACAGTGTTGCTTAGCTAGCTAGTGGTACAAAAGTGATTATTATATGAAGAGCAGTTGGTTGATGATGGATCTGTTTGGTTTTGTATCTAAATATAAATCAGCAAAAAAGCTAGTATGTACCCTAATTGAATGGGTCACTGATTAAAGGTGGTGCTAATTAATCCATCAGCAGGACCAGTATCATTATCTTCTCATTATGCACTAACTCCACTAGTTAGGCTATGATTGCAACATATGGTAGCACAACTTATTCTTTGGTTAGACTGAATCATGCACTGTTTCAAAACATGAACCTACGAATTAAGCAATGCCCTTGCAAAAAGCATAACTTAGCCTACAAATATTATTTGTTTAAAATATTCAGGTTGAGGGAACTAGAAATATTTTGCCGGAAACCACACGATATTAACTAGCCTATATGTTGGATTTACTTAGCGTGCCTTTACTCTTATGAGGACAGAGAAAACTCGAGTAAGGCCCAGTCCCCGACCCCCGCGTCGCCCGAGCCGGGCGACTCAGGGGAAACCTAGCCGCCGGCGCCCCGTCGTCTGCCCTCCGCTCGCCCCCGCATCGTCGCTGCCGGAGGGCCGGCAGGTGAAGCCGCGCCGGGCCCTGGGATGGCGGCGGCGGGGCTGTCCT